GTGGGGAATTGGATCCAAAAGATAGCGTGTAGTTATGAAAGAGATTCCAGAATCCAAGTCCTGTTGTTTTAACCAGTTCATTACTGAGCTTTACAAGCCTGCCTCATTATGAGCAGAATAAACAATGTAGAAGATGATGATTAAACTTTTTTTCTTCCCAGATTCCATCTCTAGTGTTTGATCATCACTGTTTCTGTCATTCATGTATACCAAATATCTTCATCTAAGGGTCACCAGGAACCTTTGGCTGCCTGGGGGAAAGAATTATTATTCGCATTTCACAGATGGGTAAGCAAACACAGAAGGAGAACATGCTTTGACTTACCTAAAAGAGTCTCTGAGAGAGTAGGGAATGAATGTTCCCACAGTCTTTTTTACAGAGACCTGACTTCACAGTAAATCAATTACATTTCTCTACATAGTGCATTCAGATACTTCTGCAGGCTCAACCTGTGACAGTGAAAAATCCCCAATAATGAAAATACTTTTAAAACCCTGTTCGTTTATTTGATTTTTTAATTTGTGTTGAAATCAACCTAATTCCAGTACAGTGAAGTCATGTTGCCTTGGAAGGTCTAAATATCAGTCATCAAAAAGGAGAGGGAGAGAGTGCCCCAATTTTCGGGACTTCCGCTTAAAATGAGCGTAGAGAAGACTCGCTTATCTATTTCCTGACCAATTAGGTCATTGGGCAGGAAATCACCTTTTTTGAAAAGCCAGTAAGCAGATTCCTTCTACCTTAAAGTCACCATGAACAGCAATAATGATCATTTAAACCAGCCCTCACATGGGAATGCTTGAATGTTAGCAGACGTGAGACCACTGAGTTTTCCATTTGGAAAAAAAAAACGTTACCAATTGATAGTAACTGACAGCTTCCTCACTTCCCTTTCTCCCAATTCTCTCTCAAGTGATGCCACCACCTAAAACCACCCTTCAGTTGTTTTCTCATATTTGAGACTCTGTTAAATAACTTTCTAATCCCAGTCAGGTTGTTAAGTCTTCAACCAGAGAGGGCCAGCTGTAGGCCAGCTGGGGGGCGTGAATCCGGCTGTGGGCCAGTTGAGCCAAGGGAACGCCTTGCCCAGCCAGGCCTGCTTATCATCTGGAACCCCTTGCCCTGGTTATCACTGTACATCAGGAAAGAGGGAGCTGAGTGTGGAGTCCAAGGAGCATGCAGAGTTGAGAAGAGTGATAAAATGCTCCCAACACCCCCCATGAGTGTCTTCAGGCCCTTCCCAGGGGCCCTTCTGGCTGGCAGAGGGGCAGGCTCTTCGAATCAGGAGCCTGGAGAAAGCTAATTGGAGAAGAGGTTACAATTCTGTCAGCCGGGTTTCCAACGCCGGCTCTGCCATTAACCAACCATGTGACCTTGGGAGAGTTAGTTAATCTCTCATAGATTTACTCTGTCAATAGGAACCTTATTACCTATCTCATAGAGTGGTTGTGAGGATGTAAAAAAATGGAACTAAGATATGAAACTCAAACAAGACATGAAGGGCTCCCTATATAAAGGGCTTACCCAGTGCTTAGCATATGGTACCTTAAAAATATTGTCTTTTATTATTAACTTTCAAGGCCTTGCTGTTATTGCACTTGCAGGTGGCTCAATGCCTGTAGCACTCCTGAAAATGTATCTCCTCCAGCTAGCTCGCTCTGGGTTTCCTCTGGAAACTTCTCCGTGGACATTTGCACTCATGGCCCTGAGGACCTGAACTTGCCTGTCTGAAAAACAGCAAAGCCTATGGTACTTTTAAATGCTGTTGAGGAACATGGAATCCTTTCAATAGTGACCACTGGCCCAATGTGGTTCTGATTTCTGAAAACATCTTCTAGGCCTGGGACACTTACAGTTTTATTACCAAGAACATTGTTCAGTGCTTCCCTCATTAGCATCTTCTAGTGATTCACATGTAGCCTTTCCCTGGCAAACTCGAAAACTCAGCCTCTCCTCACTCAGCAGGCATCTAAGCAACAAGCTTCTAGAGTTTTCTTGGAAAAGGTAAACCATTAATTTTAGCTTAAGCAAGATAGAATTAAGAATATAGATCAGCTAAAACCAATACATCACATGGTTCAATGTTTAGGAAGAATAACTTATTAACTATTCTAACCAGTATTTATTAAGCATCCTGTATCTCAGACCTTGTGTTAAGTGATTCAGGGGTACTAGCATGGATCAGACATGGATGTGGTCCTCTTGAAATATACACTCAGGGAGAGAAGTAAAGCACACAAGTAGCAGACCACAGGATAGAAAATGGCAGTCACATGAGAGAGTGAAAAAGTATTACAGGGGTTTAGAGATGAAGATCAGGGAAGCGGTATTGAGGATAATGTGTGGACATAGAGGCATTCCAGGTGTAGAGAGGCCATGGAGAAGAAGTGATAAATTGGAGCAAAATCTACATGGAGTGGAGAAGTGTGGAAAGGTAGTGTGGGTATAGGCTGAAGAGCCTTGAATGCCAATCTTGGGAATTTAGAACTCTTTGAAGGCACGGGGGGTGGAGGGATGGGGGAGGCGTACAAAGTCTTTGAGCATGCTGATTGTGAATGCAAGGTGGTGTACTTAGCTGTGTGCTTAGGGAGGCCAGTCGGGCAGGAGAACAGAGGATGGGCTTTTAGTAGGGAAGGACTGCCAGTAGCGTGGAGAAAGCTATGGCACTTGTCCTAGGTGGAGGCTCATGTGCGTCTGATCTAAGGTTGGAGTTAGGAGAGAATGGAGGGTCGGGAAGGATGCAGGTGAGGGTATACAGTCAAACCAATAGGGCTTTACAGTTTATTGGACATGAGGAGCATGAGAGAAGAAACCTAAAAATGGAACTCAGGTTTCAAACCAGATTAAATGGGAGGCCAAAGACAGGGCAACAAAAGAGGAGTGCGTCTCTATGGGAAGATGTGAGCTTTATTGGAAGATAAGGAATTTATGGTGTTAAAATTCATCACGTCAGGCTTACACTTCTTGTGGTTCAAAACAGAGGACAGGTGCTGAGGCCAGTCATGGGCTGAGATAAGGGCTGAGGAATCATCGGTGTGGAGCAGACATTGCCAGCGTGGTGGGAGTGAGTCATACCTGGTGCACATGCATGCTTATTGTGTGTTTAAAACAAATAACTACACCAACACTTAAAAATCAGGAGATTGTACTTAAAATATGATTTCTGGCTTCTCTTTACATCAAAAGATGTGGTAACTATGAACTCAAATTGGCACAAGATACCAGCAGTCAGAGCTGAACAGGGGCTTCCCCCCTTGAGGTCCTGGATGAATTCCCTAATTCACCACAGTTGCCTGGGGCTGGGGCTGGGCCTGGGGCTGGGGCGGGCTGGGGCGCACAAGATACCAGCAGTCAGAGCTGAACAGGGGCTTCCCCCCTTGAGGTCCTGGATGAATTCCCTAATTCACCACAGTTGCCTGGGGCTGGGGCTGGGCCTGGGGCTGGGGCTGGGGCTGGGGCTGGGGCTGGGGCAGGAAAGAAGGGCTGGAGGCTTATGGTTAAGGGTCTGGGGCTTGCATTTGGGGTGATGAAGTGTCCTAGAGTTTGATTCTGGCGATGGTTGAACAATTCTGCATGTAGTAAAAACCATTGCACTTGAAGTGGGTGGTTTGTATGATGTGTGAATTATCTCAATAGAGCTGTTTGACAAAAATGCAAAAAAAAAGAAAAAGAAGTTGCTCAAGCCCTGGCTGTGTTGGTGTACTTACAGCAAAAAACACTTCTCTGTTAATGTGTCTCTATCAAGAAAGGAAAGACAGACTGAGATTTTTAAAAGAAAAATGGAAGAGTGTACATCTATCTTGTGGTAGTAAAGAATTTCTATGTGTTACAGTGCAAACACCTGGCCTCTGTATTAATTTATTTCCTCGCCACTGAAGGAAGTTGGGTATTAGGAAGAATTTTGGTCGTGGCCAGCTCTCTGCAGTCCACCCACTAAGAAGAAGAGGCCAGACGATTGGATGTCAAAGGAGGGAGAAGCTTTATCAACCTCTGACAAGAAGTCAGGGAGGTTGAGGACAGGGAAGGCAGGAAATTGCAAGGCACCATCCAGGGAGAGAGCTTACAATGGTGGGGCCAGAGAGGGCTACAGGCGCAGGTGACCAAGTATGCTCAGGAGGTAGTACTTTATCCTCAGGCACAGAGGGTGAAAGACCAGAATTCCTCCCCTGGCCCAGGCCAAACGTGGGCACAGCAGTTCAAAGGTGACCTCGATATGACAGCAAAGGCTGGCTGCTAGAGGATGGAACCCGTTAGCCTGCCTGTGATAAGGAAGAAGACGAGGCGAGCAGAGTAGATGTCAAGAGACACCCATGAAGCTCTGGAGGTGGAAGACAGTAGCTGAAGTACAACTTGGCGGAAATTAGAACTCAGAGAGTTTGCTTCAGATCCTTCCCTTTTAGGAACGTCTTAGGTGGCAAAAGAATGTTTCTCTTGGGATAAGAATGTCTAATACAGAGATATGAAATGGTGAGGTCTTCCAGAATCCTCCTCCAGGTGTGTGTGTGTGTGTGTGTGTGTGTGTGTTGGAAGGGAAAAGGAATTTTATATGCATATGCCACCATTTCTATATTGATAAGGAACACTGAGTTAAAATTCTTATCAAGCTAAAAAAGTTTAACAACTCTATTGAACTAAGACTATTTCATAACCAGCTCTTACTCTGTGTAGCAGCACTTTGCCCTTCTACCAGGGATGTTGAGTGGCTTGATTTAGTATTAGCAATGGTTCCAAATTCCCTTGCAGTGAGACCTCTTATTGCTGTGTAACTCTTGCCTTGAGCCTGTAGTGGTCACTTTCCCTGAGGCTGAAGGAAACTCATGCTGGCTTTTATTTTTAGTCTCAAATTCTTTAACCCCTCTCCTTCTCTAATTCATCAGCTTCTGTGGTCATGAACTGAGCCTCCACGTGAGCCTCCACATGAACTGAGCAATGACTGGACTTTTGTGAGACACCATCACAAGAAAGGGCATCAAGATCATAGCTATGTTCTGCTCCGTTTCAGGCCCTTCTGGATCCAGCTGTGTGACAGCTGCACTAGGCAACACCTGGAGCCACAGTGTGAACACACGGCTGATTTTCCAAAGCCTTGGTTCAGAGAGAAGACAGGTGAGTGCTTTGACATTGTTCTGTGATTGTCAAGGTCATGTTGTCTGCCCTGGCCCGACACAGGTCGTAGGGAAAAATAAAACAAAAAGCATCCCTTGGAACCAGGGAGCATTATGCTACGTGAAATAAGCCAGTCAGAGAAAGATAAATATCACATAATCTCACTCATTTGTGGAATATAATGAACAACATAAATGATGAACAAAAACAGAACTGGAGTCATAGAAGCATCAAATAGATTGTCCAACCTATGAGGGAAGGCGGGGGTGGGTGTGGGTGTGAGGGAGTAAGAGATAAACCAAAGAACTTGTATGCATGCATATGAGCATAACCAATGGACACAGATGTGGGGGGAGGGGAAGGGCATGTGCTGGGAGTTGGGGGCAGCCAGGGAGAGGTCAATGGGGGGGAAAGACTTATGTAATACATTAAACAATAACTTAAAAAATAAATTAAAAATTAAAATAAAAATTAAAAAAAGCATCCCTGCCTGCCCCAACAGCAGTAAAATGAAGTGGGGAGACAAGTCACTTATAGGAAAAGAACTGTAAGTATAGACCGAAGAGAGTTCACATGGTGGCCAATAGCTTGTAAGTGACCTGATGGTAGTCAATAGCTTGTAAGTGACCAAGGTACACACCTCTAGGGATCTCAGGTTCTCCATCAGTAAAGAGTGAATGATCAACACTATCGGTCAAACACTAGGTCATTCATGTACAAATTAAAAAGTGATGGTGCTTTTTCTTGAGATGAATGTGCTTTGAAAACCTCAGGCCAGACAGACCTTGCCAAGAGAATAACTGTTCCCCAGGTTCTGGGTACTTTTGCATCGACTCATGGCCAGTAGTTTAAAGGATTAGGTGATGCTAGAGAGACCTCTGAAAGGATGCTGCCTCTAAGAGCTCCCTGTTGATGGCTTCTGTGCTGGTCTCAAATGAGAATTTCCCCCTCTCACCCAGAAGGGTTCATTTCTACCCCTTCTCCATCTTCCCTCCACCCTCTAAGAAAGGATCACCACTGTCTGACCTTTTGGAAAGATGCCTCCTAATTAGGACATTTCTTCCTGATGGCTAACTTCAGCTTCATCCTGTGTGGACCAGGTTCCACCACAACCTCCTCTGCACACAGGAGGAGAAGGAAGCCAGGGTGATTATTCTGATGTAATGGATGGGGCAGAATGCAGAACCCAGATTTGCCCATTTTGCTAAATATATAGCAAATCCAAGTCACTAATTAAAGAGGGGGTAGTGGGGAGGGGGTGGTTGGAAGTGCGTGTAGCCCTTTACCTGCGTTGGGTGAACTGGCTCTTTTTCAGGGAGTCAGGAATCATCCAAAACAGACGGGAGCCCTTGCCTGTTCCAGACATAGCTCTCCGAGTGCTCTCGGTTACAGACCAGAGGACTTCTCTTGGTTCGCTTGGAGTGTGTAAATAGCCTTCCAGCCGAGGACTGAGTCAGCTGTGTTCTGAGGCGATGGAGCTGCTTGTTTTCATTCCAGGGAACATTCTTGAGTTTTCAGGCCCTGGCGAGCTCGTTGCCTCCATGAGGCCTTTTCTCTGATAATTCAAGTTTCCTGGGTTCTGCATCCATTTCTTTTCTTTTCAGTAGAACACATCCAAAAATGTTCCTGTAGAACCTAATGACCTTAGGTTTGTACCCCAGGTTATAAATGTCGTTCAGTAAACCCTGCTTGCAGCTCTCAGGCATGTTGCTAAGGAGTGTCGAGCTCTGCTCCCTGGACTCCTTGAAGAAGCAGGGTCCTGTGGGTCAATGTTGATTCAGTCATTTTCATGGATCCTTAACCCCACTCCTTGAAAACCTTTGTACTTTATCTCTGTTTTAGATGTTAGATGACACACATTGATTTTGTGATTCAGTCTATTATACATGGTATTGTGGGTTCCAGGCTCCCAGATTCTAGTTTTACTAATTCTAGTTAGTGTTTATTAGTAAATAAAGAAGTTAGAGCCACATTTTTTGTTCATTTGTTTTATTAAATTAACCAGTCATCTCTGTTTTGTTAGTGTCAACAGGAAATAGCTAGTTGAACAAATGCTATTATTCTGTGTTTCTTTGGTGACTGGAACATTTTGGTGGCTGTTGGATCTTGGCTCGTAAGGTCAATTGTAGGCCACTGGTTAGGAGAAGAATGCAGATCAAAGTGTAGATAGATCAGTGACAGCCTACCAGCTCATATCCCATTAGAGGGATCCGTGGTGTTATCTTAATCTATAAAGGACAGCTTGTTCTATCATTGCTAATCAATCAAGAGCAGAGTTAAATGCTTTTGAATCATGTTTCAAACAATAATGAAAATTTAAAGTAAAATACAACCAGCATTAAAAATGGCCAGCACAGGCCAAAGAACGTATGCTTAATTAATCTACAGAAATGTGTGTGCCTTCAGGGACCAGTTGTTCTGTTTGTGGCCTGATAAGTAGGATAAAATTTAACATAGAAAACTCGCCTCAACCTGATGCCCTGATCTCAGCTCACCAGAGGGTGTGCTTAGTGATTCATCGAGCCTTTCCCGTGGTCCTACTTCATGACAAAGAAGAGGAGCCACGTGAAGACCCACCTTTTCTGGGATACGTGCTTTTAAGGTGATTGCTCCAAATAATACCTTTTATAACACCACTTAGTAGGAGGACATGCCTAGATCATTCCATAGTCAGATATGAACACCAGCTCCAATGGGGAGTTACAGGTAGAGCTTTTGTTTTTCATTCTTTTTTCTTTCTTTCTTTCTCTCAATGCGCAAGCAGAGGCCACACGCCACGGGGTCAAGGTTACGTAATGAAAGTTACGTTTTATCCCGTTTCTATGACATTGAGCTCTGCACCAGGGCTCGAAGGTGAGGCTTAGTCTGAGCTCAGCGGCTGGAAGGGGTCAGGCCAAGCTGAGCAAACTGGCGAGCTGAGGAGCCCAAGTTGGATTGTAGGGTCCGACAGACAGAGTCCTCCCTGGCATATTATTTTCTTTACACCCTGGAAACGTAGAATTATACAACCGCGGAAGAAATCTCCTTATCAGGGCACAAGCCAAGTTAATTCTCTTGTTTATTCTGCTTCAGTGTTTGTAAAAACGCTCTTGTGAAGCTGGGAAGCATTTTCTTTTGGACTAATTTAGCCTTTTTTCCATTTGACTTTTATTTACTCTTTTCCTCCTTGGCTTCAATCCTGCCCCACCCTTTTTGCAACATTTTTATTCTTACTAAAGACATGTCCTTAGAGTTGAATTACAATGGCCACTGCTGGGGGTTTTGTGCTTGCGTTTTAGTGGATTTGGTTTTGTTACATAAATAAAAGGATGATTTGGTTCACCATGTGCATGGCAGGGGGATGCAAAGAAGTAGCAGACAGTTCCTGCCTTCAAGTTTCTTCTGTTCTAGTCCGAGAGATGACTGAGATATATAATACACACGCATGCCCACATACACACTCATGAATATCGAAATGAAATGCAGGAGTTAAAGCACAAACTACCTAATACGTGGTTAGCACTGTTCTGAGTCCCAGGAAGGTAAACTCATCAGAGCAAGTTAGTTTTATCAGAAGAAGGTGGGACTTGAGTATCACTTTAAATCTGTGTTTCTGGAGCCTGGGTGACCATAGACCCCTCCCAGGAGTATTTACAAAATACCAGCACCAGGCCCCACCCTGACCAATGCAGTCAGCATTCCTGATGGTGGGGCCAGGCCTCGGTGTGCGTTTTATTTGTAAAGCTCCCCCCAGGTGATTTGACGGTCTAGCCCAGGTTAGAAACCTGATATAGATCAAATCGGGTTACTAGGGAAGGAAAGGGAAGATGTTGGGGTGAGGGTGGAGCAAAAGGAGAAAGACAGGAGGTCAAGTCATAGGTTCCGAAGACTTGGGTTGTTTTTTTCCTGAAAACATGAGCATAGGATGTGTGTACCCATTTATTTGACAAACCTTTATTTAATCACCTCTTCTCTGCTAGTTACTGTGTAAGATGCTTGTAAGAGATTCAAAGTATAAGTAAGTTGATGCCCTGTAGTTGTTCACAATCAACCTGGGGAAATAGATCAACATGTAAACAGTAGGTGCTGTATGCGTGCATCTTGAGCCAAGTGCTCCTTAGAGGAGAGGGAGGCCCTAGCACAACGGGAGGTCTTGTGCTGATGAATGGGTCAGCAGCATCCACAGGGGATTGGCTGAGGCCCACCTTGGGAAGTTCTCACGGTAACCAGGCACCTTGTATTGAGGGACTAGAAAAGCTAGAGTGAGGGTGGTTATACTTGAAAGAAGGATGAAAACCTTGATGAAATATTCATACTATTCCTCATCAAATCCACATGCAGTCTGCTCCTACAAACCACATATGGGATTATATAAAATTTTAAGTGCCCGAGAAGGAGTACTGAAGTAAATTAATCCCAACTAAGCTTCACACTCCCTTGATGAAATAAATATTATGACTCTCTTATTTCAACAAATTGGAAAGAGGTGACTTTTTCATGCAGAAGGTTTATTTAAATGGGCTTTAGAACAATATTTTCATCTTCCATGTAGAAGGCACCCTGATGTTCCAGACCACGGAGGGAAGAGACTTCTAGTAAGAGACGCACATTGTTGACAAGACCAATAACATCACTCCACTCCCGGTCCTTACTTCAATCCTTGGGCTTTTCTCACAGTCCCAGGTTGTTTTGCGTCTTGGAAGTATTCAGTTTCCGTTCTGGTGACATCACTCTTCTTTCGGGGCCCATTTTGTATTTTGAAAGACAAACACCATCACTCTGAGAACCCCCCAGCATCCTCGCCCTAATCAGGCCCTCTTCCCTCAGGCTAGCCCTCAATTGCACCTCAAAATTTGTCTCTGTTTTTGCCTTGTGAGACCTGAAGGATGAGCCCCTTGAGGACTGTGACGGAATCTTTCCTGCGTCCCCTCAGAGGCAAGATCAATGCTTGACACTTACACATTCAATACATTTATTTAGAAAGAGAGGGAAAGAAGGAAGCAAACTCCTTGTAGCTGTGT